TCTGGAAAGCAGAAAGTGCCGGGTCTGGAGGAGGACCAGAGGAGGAGTAAAGTCAGTTACCAGAGTCTGCTGAATGCTGGGACCAGAGGAGGCAGAGATGGGGGGGTGCTGCAGCTGCACTGAGAGGTGCAGGATTTGGCAGAGGAGTTCTATTCTCCTCTCTGCTGCCAACTACTGAGAAAAGGTGGGGTGGAGACAAGGGGGTACCTGCAGGAGAGGTGCAAGGGCCACATGAAATGGCCTGGAAGGCCAGATTCGGCCCGGGGGCCTTGTGTTTGACACCTGTGAGCTAGATGATGCTGGGCGTCCTCTGGCCAGGAAACGAGGAGGGCTCTGTCTGACTTCTAATGCACATTGTGAGAAGCTCACAGTATGCGGTGAAATCAGAGTGAGTGATTTCAGTCCAGGAGAGGAGCCAGTACAACTAGAGGGCAGGCTGGAGGTCATCCTTGATGTATGTATACATGGAAATGTTACACAAAAAAAAAAGGAAAACTAATTCAAAAAATGTGTGTGTGAGGATGTGGTGCTCCCCGGAACCCCCCCCCCCCCCCCCCCGCACACGGAGCACACGCAGCAGCCAAGGAAATGCTGCAGTCAGTTCTCTGTAGAGGCCGCTGCGCCCTCAGGCAACGCTCACTCTTTATTGGCTTTCAGTCATTTCTTACAATGAGCGCCAGAGATCAGAGCGCGGGGACAATCACACGGGCACGGGGTGCCCATCACACAGCTCCCTTCATCACTCCCAGGAGGAGGGAGCTGACAAGTCCACCCCCGCCCAATGTGGAACTACAGATCCCAGCATGGCCGCTCAATAAACTCTCCAATAGGTTGGTTTGCCTCTAAAAGTGGACCTGTCACCAGAGATGTTTCCCAATGCGAAGTGCGCCATGCTCAGCGATGTGTCAGTGTAACACTTCCAGGTATTTTTTAACTGGACTCCCCCTGACAATGCCTGCTGATTTCCTCTCCAGAAGGACAGCACCATCCTTGTTCAGGCATCATCTGATGCAGGCTCAGAGATGACACAGTCATGTAAATCCTGGTGCCCATGGTTATATCAGGGTCAGTTCACTCTATGCCCTGAGCTGAATCGCACAGGACCGCGCTGTGCAATCATGCGCAATTCATCTGCAGCTCTGCGCAGTCAGGTTTCAAGTCCATTCATTTGACTGGGATGAGATCACACCACAGCAAAAGTAGTGTATGCACTACTTTTTGAAACGCACAGCAATTACATGGCATGGTACTTTCTACCGTGTGATTTGGTGTGGATCAGTGCGGGCAAAGGCAATGCTACTGGCATTTGGAGTGTCGTTAAAGGCTCGGTCACACTAGAATGCAGTGCTGGAGAGACACGGTCCCATGCAGCTTCCCACACCACATTCCGATTGCAATGCCCTTGCGATTTGCTTCGGTGGTCAGTTAAAAGTTGATGACGCCACAAATGCATTGCGCTTGTCTGCACTGGCCCACACCAAATCGCATTAGAGAAAGTGCCATGTGATGCAGTTGCTGTGCGTTTCAAAAAGTAGTGCATGCACTACTTTTGATGCGGTGCAGTGCGATTTCCCACATGGAGTATACGGGGCAACCGGGTGCAGGAACTCTGGTGCTCACTTGGAGTATACAAGGCAGCCGGGTGCAGGAACTCTGGTGCTCACTTGGAGTATACGGGGCAGCCGGGTGCAGGAACTCTGGTGCTCACTTGGAGTATACGGGGCAGCCGGGTGCAGGAACTTTGGTGCTCACTTGGAGTATACAAGGCAGCCGGGTGCAGGAACTCTGGTGCTCACTTGGAGTATACGGGGCAGCCAGGTGCAGGAACTCTGGTGCTCACTTGGAGTATACGGGGCAGCCGGGTGCAGGAACTCTGGTGCTCCCTTGGAGTATACGGGGCAGCCGGGTGCAGGAACTTTGGTGCTCACTTGGAGTATACAGGGCAGCCGGGTGCAGGAACTCTGGTGATCACTTGGAGTATTGGAGACAGAGAAGCGTGATTCGTCACTCCAGAGAACATGTCTCCACTGCTCTAGAGTCCAGTGGCGGTGTGCTTTACACCACTGCATCCGACGCTTTGCATTGCACTTGGTGATGTAAGACTTGGATGCAGCTGCTCGGCCATGGAAACCCATTCCATGAAGCTCTCTATGCACTGTTGTTGTGCTAATCTGAAGGCCACATGAAGTTTGGAGGTCTTTAGCTATTGACTCTGCAGACAGTTGGTGACTTCTGCACACTGTGCGCTTCAGCATGTGCTGACCCCGCTCTGTCATTTTACGTGGCCTACCACTTGGTGGCTAATTTGCTGTTGTTCCCATTTGCTTCCACTTACGCGTGGAGTATTTAGTAGCCAGGAAATGTCACGGATGGACTTATTGCACAGGTGACAACCTATCACAGGGCCACACTTGGAGTCACTGAGCTCCTGAGAGCGACCCATTCTTTCACAAATGTTTGTAGAAACAGTCTGCATGCCTAGGTGATGATTTTTTATACACCTGTGGCCATGGAGGTGATTGGAACACTGGAATCACATGATTTGGATGGCTGGTCCAATACTTTTGGCAATATAGTGTATGTTATTTAGCTGTGTGGCTGGAGTTCTACTTTAAGCCATTGAATAATGGGAATTCTCATACATAGGCCAGAAAAGACAGTATTGACTTTAAACCACAGGGGTGGAAATGGCTGGATGAGAGGATACAATTGTCTTGAACAAGAGCCAATACCCATCAGCAATATAATCTCCTAATTTCCCAGCTCCACCCGCCCATCAGCCTACAGGAAATTAACCGCTTTCTGTCCACTTGGCCGGAGCCTCCCAGAGACCTTAACCCCCACCTCAGTGTGATCCATGGATCGGATCCCCTTGTAGAAGAACTCAGATCAATAGATTTCCTAGGCACAGTGGTTGACCTCTGGACCTCCAGGACAGAAGGCCATTGTACAGGCTGATGGCATTGTCAGTGGGACTAGGAGGGGACACTTTGTATCCTGTGCTGGGAACTCTTCCAGAATCAACTCAACTACTGAGGACAGAATGTTTGTTCTGCTTCTCAATAAAGTGACAGATCTCAGATCAAAGACAGACCCCTCCTATCCCTGCCTTGTATTATCCTCTCAACTAACCTAGGTGCTACCAGGGCTTGCTGGGACTTCTAGTTCCCCAATGGGGAGACAGAGCAGATTTAAAGTGTGCGCTCTTATTAGCAGAGCCTGCTCATCTTATATCAATTAATGCACAATATGGTAATAAATATGCATAATATAGGAAATGCCAACCCATTCACTAAAATTCATATAATCTTTAATTGTTTTTAAACCATATTTTATTTATTGGAAACATTTTTTTTGTTTTGCTTTTTACATGAAATACACATACACATCACAAACATCCATTGCAGTGTACAGGGCTGTGCTGGTACTAGCAGTACTTTGTGCAGGGTACTGGGCTGTGCTGGTACTAGTAGTGCTTCATGCAGGGTACTTGACTGGCTGGTACTAGTATTGCTTCATGCAGGGTACTGGGCTGTGCTGGTACTAGTAGTGCTTCATGCAGGGTACTTGACTGGCTGGTACTAGTGATACTTCATGCAGGGTATTTGGCTTTGCTGGTACTAGTATTGCTTCATGCAGGGTACTGGGCTGTGCTGGTACTAGCAGTACTTTGTGCAGGGTACTGGGCTGTGCTGGAACAAGTAGTGCTTCATGCAGGGTACTGGGCTGTGCTGGTACTAGTAGTGCTTCATGCAGGGTACTGGGCTGTGCTGGAACAAGTAGTGCTTCATGCAGAGTACTGGGCTGTGCTGGACCTAGGTGCGCTTAATGAAGGGTACTGTGCTGTGCTGGTACTAGCAGTACTTTGTGCAGGGTGCTGGGCTGTGATGGTGCCAGTTTTGCTCTTATGCAGACTGGGTTGTGCTGATACCAGTAGTGTTCTTTATAAGATACTGGGCTATGGTGGTGCCAATAATTATCCTGTACAGGGTACTGGGCTGTGCTGGTACTAGTAATGCTTCTGCGCAGGGTGCTAGGCTGTGCTGGTACTAGTAGTGTTTCTGTGAAGGGTGCTGGGCTGTACTGGTACTAGTAGTTCTTCTGTACAAGGTACTGAGCTGTGCTGGTAATAATAGTACTTCATGCAGACTGGGTTGTTGAACTGGTAATAGCGGTACTTCTATGCAGGGTCATGGGCTGTGCTGGTACTAGTAGTGCTTCTGTGCAGGGTGTTGGTCTGTGCTGGTACTAGTAGTGCTTCTGTGAAGGGTATTGGGCTGTGCTGGTACTATAATGGCTTCTTTACAGGCTACTGGACTGTGGTGGTATCAATTATTCTCCTGTACAGGGTACTTGGATGTGCTGTTACTAGTAGTGCTTCTGTGCAGGGTGTTGTGTTAGTACTAGTAGTGCTTCTGCGCAGGGTGCTGGGCTGTGCTGATACTAGTAGTGCTTCTGCGCAGGGTGCTGGGCTGTGCTGATACTAGTAGTGCTTCTGCAAAGGGTGCTGGGCTGTGCTGATACTATTAGTGCTTCTGCAAAGGGTGCTAGGCTGTGCTGATACTAGTAGTACTTTGTGAAGGGTACTGGGCTTTGCTGGTACTAGTAGTGGTTATGCGCAGGGTGCTGGGCTGTGCTGGTACTAGTAGTACTTCGTGCAGAGTACTGTGCTGTGATGGTACTAGTAGTACTTCATGTAGGGTACTGGGCTGTGCTGGCACTAGTAGTACTTCGTGTAGGGTACTGGGCTGTGCTGGTACTAGTACTTCGTGCAGGGTACTGGGCTGTGCTGGTACTGGTAGTACTTCGTGAAGGGTACTGGGCTGTGCTGGTACTAGTACTACTTCGTGCAGTGTACTGGGCTGTGCTAATACTAGTAGTAGTTCATGTAGGGTCAGGGGCGGACTGACAACTCATGGGGCCCCCGGGCAATAGGGGATCATGGGGCCCCTGTGTCCTTGCCCAAACTCAAAAAAGGCCTATGAAAAAGGTACCTGGAGCAACTCATGGGGCCCCTACTAACCCCGGGCCCTCGGGCAGTGCCCGAGTTTCCAAATGGTCAGTCCGCCCCTGTGTAGGGTATTGGGCTGTGCTGCTACTAGTAGTACTTCATGCAGACTGGGTTGTTGTGCTGGTACTAGTAGTGCTTCTGTGCAGACGCAGATCCAGCATAAATGTGCTCCTGCTTTGTCACCCACACTTCTGATGAAGACTAAAAGTGGCCTTTTCAACACACCTGACACTGGTATGGTCCATTGTTGTCACTGTCAGGACCCCCACCACCCTGAGGAATGCCATGTAGATATTGCAGGAAGTGGCTGCCAAGGGGATGCAGGAGATCAGCAGCCCTGAGATGTAACAAAGGACGAGGAAAGGGTGAAAGCAAAGATTGTGTTGCTCATAACACAAATAGCAAAAGAAATGTCACCCGGTTGGGTTTACAACTACTTTACTCCATACACCGTATATATGTATATAAACCAGCTTCTCTTTCTGATCTGTTATGAAGGATACAGATCGGTCATCCTCATCCTTTCTGCTGAGTCAGTAAGCTAGAACAAGCATGCAGCCAGTGAAAGGTGTGAATTCCTCCAGGATGAAGATGAGAGATCCTCCATGCCTGTTCTCGGGCTCTATAAAGCCGCATGGAGTGCGCAGACGATGATCCCTCACGGAGGTGGGGGAGGTCGGGGGAGAAAACCCTCCAAACCTCTACACCAGGGGAGAAAAGGGGGGAACTTTCAAACTCTATCTAGCCTCCTATCCCCCCTTACCCCCTTCTCCTGCCCCCCTTCTCCTGCCCCCCTTTCTTGCCCCCCCCCCCCCCCAATTCCGCCCTCTTAATTCCTCCCTCTTCATTCACCCCTCTTCTGCCCCCCTTTTCTTCTTCTGCCCTGATATCACCAACCATCTATGACCCCACTTCTCACCCTTCTAATGCTAGTCTGTACCCCCTCTCCCCCCCTTTCTGATGCCAGGCTGTACCCCCTCTGCCCCCCCCCTTCTAATGTCAGTCTGTTCCCCACCCCTTTCTGATGCCAGTCTGTACCCGCATCTGCCCCCTTTTCTGATGTCAGTCGGAACCCCCATCTGCCCCCCTTCTCACTTTTCTGATGCCAGTCTGTACCCCCTCTGCCCCCTTCTCATGCCAGTCTGTACCCCCTCTGCCCCCTTCTCATGCCAGTCTGTACCCCCTCTGCCCCCTTCTCATGCCAGTCTGTACGCCCCTCTGCCCTGTTTACTGATGTCAGTCTGTACCCCCCCCTCTTCCCCCCTTTCTGATGCCAAGCTGTACCCCTTCTCCCCCCTTCTGATGTCAGTCTGTTCCCCGTCCCCCCCTTTCTGATATCAGTCTGTACCCCCCTCTGCCCCCCTTCCCATCCTGCTGATGCCAGTTTTTACCCCCTCCTGCTATCTTCTAAGTCTATGATCCCCTTCCCACCCTCCTGATGTCAGTCTGCACCCCCTCTGCCCCCCTTCCCACCCTCCTGATGTCAGTCTGTACCCCCCTCTGCCCTCCTTCTCACCCTCCTGATGTCTGTCTGTACCCCCCTCTGCCCCCCTTCCCACCCTCCTGATGTCAGTCTGTACCCCCTTCTGCCCCCCTTCCCACCCGCTTGATGTCAGTCTGCACCCCCTTCTGCCTCCCTTCCCACCCTCCTGATGTCAGTCTGTACCCCCCTTTTCCCCCCTTCTCACCCTCCTGATGTTAGTTTGTACCCCCTTCTGCCCCCCTTCCCACCCTCCTGATGTCAGTCTGTACCCCCCTCTGCCCTCCTTCTCACCCTCCTGATGTCTGTCTGTACCCCCCTCTGCCCCCTTCCCACCCTCTTGATGTCAGTCTGCACCCCCTTCTGCCTCCCTTCCCACCCTCCTGATGTCAGTCTGTACCCCCCTTTTCCCCCCTTCTCACCCTCCTGATGTCAGTTTGTACCCCCTTCTGCCCCCCTTCCCACCCTCCTGATGTCAGTCTGTACCCCCCTCTGCCCCCCTTCCCACCCTCCTGAATGTCAGTCTGTACCCCCCTCTGCCCCCCTTCCCACCCTCCTAATGTCAGTCTGTACCCCCTCTGCCCCCCTTCCCACCCTCCTGATGTCAGTCTGTATCCCCCTTTGCCCCCCTTCCCACTCTCCTGATGCCAGTTTGTACCCCCCTCTGCTATCTTCTAATTCCAGTCTGTACCCCCCCTCTCACCTTCCTGATATCAGTCTGCACTCCTTCTGCCCTCTATTTCTGATGCCAGTTTGTACCCCCCCTGCTATCTTCTAATTCCAGTTCTCACCTTCCTGATATCAGTCTGCACCCCTTCTGCCCTCTATTTCTGATGCCAGCCTGTACCCCCCTCTTTCCCCCTCCTGATGCCAGTCTGCCCCCACCCCCCTCCTCCTGCAGTTGCCCCGCCCCCGGACCCGCCCCTCCAACATTCTCCGGACTCCGGGAGTCGGTGCTCAGTTGGCACAGTGTACCTGGCCGGGATCGGAGGAGGTCGGTCGGTCGGTCGGAGCGGTGTTGGATTATCTCCCCCTGGATTGTTGTGGATAATTGCCCCGTGTGGAGTACAGACCCGGAGCCGTGTCCCCTGGATGTGCCCGATCTCTGGATGGATGTGGATGTTGTCACCCCGGGAATATTACCAACACCGACCTGCTGAGCTGTAACCATGTTCTATGCCACCCTCTACTTTCTGCTGCCTCTCATGGGTGAGTACCGGGGAGGGGGAGGGGGGACTGGCACCGGCACCCACCATGTGCCAGGGAGAGAGGACCGGTACTGGGACCAGCCAGACTGTGCCCGGGGAGAGAGGACCGGTACTGGGACCAGCCAGACTGTGCCCGGGGAGAGAGGACCGGTACTGGGACCAGCCAGACTGTGCCCGGGGAGAGAGGACCGGTACTGGGACCAGCCAGACTGTGCCCGGGGAGAGAGGAACGGTACTGGGACCACAGAAACTGTGCCAGAGAGAGGGGACCGGTACTGGGACCAAATAGACTGCCAGGAGAGAGGGACCGGTACTGGTACCATACAAACTGTGCCGGGGGAGAAAGGACCGGTACTGTTACCATACAGACTGTGCTGAGGGAGAGGGGACCGGTACTGGTACCAGACTGTGCCAGGGGAGAGAGGAGAACTATAATGGGACCACATAAACTGTGCCAGGAAGAGGTGACTGGTTCTGGGATCAGCCAGACTACAAGGAGAGAGGGGACTGGTACTGGGACTATACAGACTGTGCCAGAGGAGAGGGGACTGGCACTGGGACCATATTAACTCCCAGGGGAGAAGGGACCAGTACTGGTACTACACAGACTGTGCCAGTGGAGAGAGGAGAACTATACTGGGACCACAGAAACTGTGCTAGGAAAAGGTAACTGGTTCTGGGACCAGCCAGACTGTGCAAGGGGAGAGGGGGACTGGTACTGGTACTGGGACTGGTATACAGACTGTGCAAGGGGAAAGGGGACTGGTACTGGGACTATACAGACTGTGCAGAGAGGGGAAATACAGACTGGGGGGAAAGGGGACTGGTACTGGGACTATACAGACTGTGCAAGGGGAGAGGGGACTGGTACTGGGACTATACAGACTGGGGGACTGGTACTGGGACTACAGACTGTGCAAGGGGAGAGGGGACTGGTATTGGGACCACAAAAACTATGACAGGGGAGAGAGGACTGGTACTGGGACTATACAGACTGGGAGAAGGGACTTGTACTGGGACTGAGACTATACAGACTGTGCCAGGGGAGAGGGGACTTGCACTGGGACCATATTGACTGCCAGGGGAAAAAGGACCAGTACTGGTACCACACAGACTGTGCCAGGGGAGAGAGGACCGGTACTGGGACTACAGTGCCAGGGGAGAGAGTTCGGGTATTGGTATCAGCCAGACTGTGCCAGGGGAGAGAGGTCCGGTACTGGTACCATATGGACTGTGCCAGGGGAGAGAGGACCGGTAATAGGACCATACAGACAGGAAGCCATCCTTGGCACCGATACACCTTAGACGTAGAGATGTCTGGCAGTAATACAAACTGTGCCAGGGAGAAAAGAGAAATGGTGGGGGTACAGCGCCAGGAGAGAGACTGCCACTGATACAATGTTACCCTGTTCTACACAGTGCCAGGGACAGGCTGGGTGAATGTGGGGGAGGGGGTCTGTGTATACACCACATATCACTGTGCATCTCTGTAGGAGGGGATATACACTGTGCCAGGGACAGGCTGGGTGTAGGTATGTACTGTCATCTGACAATATGTATCACTATAGAGCTGTGCCAGGGCACTAGACTGGTACCAGTCCCTCCACTACTGGGACACAGTCCATACCAAGAGGACCCAGGACTCATGGATACAATGTATGAACTCCCTGGATATGGATACAATGTATACAATCTGTGGATATAGATACAATGTATACATTCTGTGGATGTGGATACAATGTATACATTCTGTGGATGTGGATACAATGTATACATTCTGTGGATGTGGATACAATGTATACATTCTGTGGATGTGGATACAATGTAAAAAAAAAATAGAAGAGATAATATCAATATATAAATTATCTGAATACAGATACAAGTGTTTCAAGATATAAAGCCTTTGCTTACAAAGTCTCTAAGTGCAGATACAATGTATCAGTGTATAATAAAGTCCCTTGATATGAATACCACGTACATAATGTATAGCCTCTGGATATAAATACGATGTATCTCAGGTTAGACATACAATGTATTACAGAACAAAGTATCAAAGTATTAGGACATAGAGGGTATCAGCATAAAAGGTAGCAGGACACACACCAACACACACTTAGATAGATAGATAGATAGATAGATAGATAGATAGATAGATAGATAGATAGATAGATAGATAGATAGATAGATAGCTATATAGATCCAGTGTATACAAATAATAATAATAAAATCTCTTTATACAGACGCAATGTATTTGTGTATAATAAAATCTCTCTAACTATTGATGTATCTGGGGATCATCTATAGTCTCTGAATATACATTGATCAATATGTAACAACACAAAGTATTAGGGAACATAAATACATCACTAACTCTC